TTTTTACAAACACATAGGAAATATGCTATGCTAAGTAACAAACATTAAAGGAGGAGGGTAAAACAAATTCAATTTAAGGCAAATGTATACTCAGGTACTCCTACTCAGAATCCATAGTGTTATAAATACAAGCTGCATGGTGCTTTCAGAACTGTAGTTCTTTAAGACCTCTCAAGGGAAAACATCATACCAAATTAATCTGCCACCAAGTGGAAATACTATATCGTTTGCAGTTGCCAATGTACTGTATGGGCTGTAATTGCACCGCAGCAAATATCTGCTTTGAGTTCTTCATGAGATTAAATGTGGCCAATTGGGCATAAAAGAGAAATCAAAATGCAGAGCTGCTGTGTTGGATTTGGTATGAGCATTGCTCGTGTTTGATCTGCTCTGATGAGTCTGGTTTCTAGCCTCCGTACTTATAAAAAGAAAGATGGGGAAGGTGATAAGAATGTGGGAGTAAGAACCAGGAGATCTAGGGTCCTTTCCTGGCATTCTTATTAATTTTTATTGCATCTGTGGCCAGCTTATTTTCTCTCTCATTTCTCCATCTGTGAAATGGGAAGCAAAGCAACAGTTATTAGGCCTGTGCAAAGTGGCTAGTATTCGCTTCACATTCAGATTTGGCCGATTCGGGGGACAGTGATTTGATTCGGTGATTCAAATCACTGTCCCGAATCAATTCGGCTGAATCTGATTTGGCCATGCAGCTGCTGCCAAATCAGCCAAATCTCCAAATCACACAGGCCCCATCCCCCGCCCTCTCTCCCAGCCCCAGCAATGGCTGCCCTGTCCACCCCAGCTCCTGGTTCTTTGGGAACCCCCCCCCCCACACACTCACTGGGTGCTGCTGGGTGGGGGGGTGGTGCAGGCACTGGGGACTGCCCAAATTGCCAAAGCTCTCCGAATCTTTCCCGAATCGATTTGGAGAGCTTTGAATTGATTTGGACCTTTAATTGGTCCCCTAATTCTATTCAGATTCAGAGATTTGGCCAACGAATTGGGCCAAATCTCCTCCGAGTTGAATCAGCACCCAAAGCTTTGCACAGCCCTAACACTTATCTCCATTGCAGAGGTTTTATGAACCTTCAGTTGCTTGAAGAGTGTAACTACAATTGAAAGACAAGAAATGGAAAAGATGACAATTCTGTAATATAACAGCAGAGATTACAATATTTTGTGGGGTCTGACTGTTGTGAATTAGCTGTTATCTCATGATTTGAGACCTCTGATATTGACTCATTAGGACCCACTGATCTTTGTAAGGCTGTCAGAGTAAGTGGAGCCCTGACTAACTCACAAGGTCTTGTTGCAGTCCTAATGACTCTTCTAAGATTAGTAAGTGGAGGGGGATGCCAATGAATGGGTTATATCCTCAGCTGTATAAACTAGTGTAACTCCAATACAACTGCATAACCTTTCATTCACTGTAGAGCTGACACTATACCTGCAGGTTTTAAAAGCCGCTTTTAGGAAACTTGCCCTTTTTCATGCAAACCTGGTCATGTTCTGTTTAGTAAAGTCCTATGGTTTAGATTTTTGGACACTAGTTCCCTTCATGTTATTTTTAATTTCACTCATGTATATGAAGTCCTTAGCCCAAGCTAGCCATGCATCCTTTAATTTTGAATCAAGACAAAAGTTCCCTGTCTTTGCTTCATGTACCATACTGAATGCCTCTTTATTTCATATGTCTTTGAATTGGCAAGCACATTGTCACTTAAATAAACTAGGACCCCTTTTTCTGGCGACTTGTGCAATGAAAGTCCCAGATAGAGTTCTCCAAACAGTTACAGTATCTTCCAGGTTTATGTATCTTGCAGAGATGCGGTCTTCAGAGGGGCAACCCAGTTCCCTTGTTTGGGAATCCGGAGATGTACCTGCAGCTAAAGTCTGAAGGAGTCTGTTCGTTCTAGCTGTTCTCTCCTTAATCGGATGTCCAGCTCCCGAAGTTGCCTGAGGAAGCCGGAATTGGGGCAGATCCCTCTGTGTTCACGCACAGTCTGAATTGCATCCACAAGGGACAAGCTTTCACAGATCATTAAGAAGGCAAGCACAAGAGTTGCTGATCGGCTGATCCCCATTGCGCAGTGAACCAATACTTTGCCTAAAAAAAAAAAAAGAATCAAAATTACACCGTCAGAGTTGATGATTTTAGCCAGACAGAGCCTAGATGGAAAACTTACTGCAAGCAGGAGTTATAGACTTGAGCGAGCAGACTAGAAACAGTACCTTTGAAGGAGTGTTCTCAAATGGTTAGGAACCGAAAGACTCCTATTTCTGTTCTGTCCTTGGGGTTTGGGTTGAATCCTGTGGCTCAGTTATCAGCCTGGTGGCACACCCAAGGGATTAGGGAAGCACATGAAACTGTACAGAACCCCCACAGTGCCAAACCCTGTGTAGGGCAGGATGGAAAGTAGCTGCCTCTGGTCTGGTACTTGCCACATTGTGCAGGTAAATGAGGAGTGGTTGAAGGGTATTATTTCTGGTAATGGAGCTAGATTAGCATGCAGGGAAGATGAACTGAATAGGAACCAAATGGGGCAGTGCAACCACATGTTGTCCTTCAGGACTCATTGCAAAGTACTAGTCCAACCCATCACTCTTTTCTGTTTCACTCCCCTCACCCAGGGCAAAGAGAGAAATGCTTAGCTTGATAAAAACTCACTGAGTTGCAAAATTGAGAGGGAAACATGAGCAGAAAGTAAGGGTTTAAGTAGTTCATGTTAGTAAAGCATTCCATTAACAGGAGTATAGAAGGGAAA